GAGCAGGGACCCAGACATGGCCTGCCCTCCTGCACAGGGATGAAGTGACTGTGCTGTGCTGCTGAGTCCAGGGATGCGGGGCCTAACGCCAACCTCAAAGGAAGATCCAGCTCCCCATTCACTGCCTGGGTTACAGTGTGGTTGTGCCTTCCCCTCCCACGTCAATTATTTCTTTTGTGGCTCACAGGTTGTTCCAAAGCTAGATCACACTCCTGTTACCATTCCACGCTTCCAAACTTAAGATTGCCATTGCTACACTGTTTTACTTTAATTTCAGGAGCTCTAATTGAGTTTGTAAAGCATTATTTTTCCTCTGAGCTGAGAGCAAGATGACAGTAATCTCCCTGATCGATGCCTGTGAAGTTTCCAAGAGAACATGCTGAAATCCCAAAGGCAGTTTTATGATGTGAATTCAAGATGCTTCCTATTTCTAACTAGAAAGCCTTATGATTTCAAGTATTCATAGAGCATTATTTCTATGTAAGATTCTGAAGAACACTTTGTCCTTCGCGCAGATATAGATTTGAAACACAGATTAAGGGGGAAAAAAAACAATTGATGGGATGATGCTGGCAGCAAAGGTTTTAATTTTAAAAAAGAAGACCATTTGAAGGGGGAAAATAAATGTATTATGGGAAGACAAGAAAAGGGTCAAAGAAAATTGAGTTGTACTAAAATGATGTCTTAATTCATCGTTAAGTTTTACTAAGAACCAGTCAGATAAATGGCTATAGGAGATGTGGACAAAATTGTTACTGAGGTTTCTCAAGGTGGCAGGTCCTTACAAAGCCTCTGACAGCGTAAAAAGTTTGGACTATCAGAAGCAAGTATTCCAGGCACAAAGATGTGATGCATTTCAGGGCAGAGGACCAGATTCTCTCATGCGTAGTTGAAGGCCTACTAAACTTGCTTGTGACGTAAGGGGCTACAATTGCTCCTATGCTGCCCAACAAAAATGACTTTTATACAGGTTTTTGAGAACCTTCACCCAAAATTTAGGATTTGGAGGTAGGTTTCTTGAGGCTTCACCTTTACCAGTACACTAAACTTGCCTGGGACTGTTCTCTGGCAATGCAACCACCTGGCATGGGATTCAGTATGTCTCTGGGAGCAAGGATGTTTCTCAAGGAAGCACTTTGTAAAGGACTTGTGTGTGTTGATATCATCACTGTCACGGTGATACAGATGCAAAACCATCCTGTTACAACACAACCACTTTACTCAGTCTTAGCAGTGATTTTTGTTCTGCAGCACATCAGAAGAACGACTGACACAGCTTCCTCCTGGGAAAAAAAATCACAAAAACCTTCCCCTCCCGCCCCAAATGAGCTTTCTTAGCTTAATTGACTTCAAGTACTTTTATGCCGTTCCTGTTTTTAACAGCTAGTCCAAATGAAATCACTTCTGGCCTAAAATGAATGATAAGTGGCAGGTAATGAAAAATCTGTACTTCAGACACTCCCACAATGAGTGAAAAAGCTTCGCTGAGGAGGGTATGGAAGTAATAAAGTTGTAATAAATGTCAGAAAGATGCGAGCTCTTTATTGGAGAAAACTCATGTACTGCTTTTAACAACTGAACCTGTCAGTTATATAAATGATAATGTGCACTGAGGGAAAGTAAGCTATAAATCCTTTATTCCTGAAATGAAATTCCATCAAACGTGAAGAAATAGGTTGGCGACAAAATTAATTCTCTGTTATGTCGAATATAGATGCATCTGGACAACTGTGTTTTGAATTCAGAGCAAAAAGAATCATAGAATCACAGAATGGTTGGGTTGGAAGGGACCTCAAGGATCATGAAGCTCCAACCCTCCTTGCTGTAGTAGGCAGGGCCACCAACTCCACATTTAATAGCAGCCCAGGCTGGCCTTGAACACCTCCAGGGATGGACGGGGCATCCACAGCCTCTCTGGGCAGCTGTTCCAGCACCTCACCACTCCCATAGCAAAGAATTTCCTCCTGACATCCAACTTTAATCTTCCTCTTTCAACTTAAAACTATTTCCCCTTGTCCTGCCATTATGTACCCCTGTAAACAGTTTGCTCCCCTCAGGGATTCAACCAAATTTGAATTTTCTTGCCTCACAAATGCTCTGCATCCAGAAGTGCCCGTGTCCTTCAGACCATTCTCATTTTCAAACTGTGAACAAATTGGGAACACTTTTTTTATCACCACTAACTGCTTCAGAGACCTGAGTGCCAGTTCCAGCACACATATAGCCAGACAGCAGCAGGCTGCTGCACTCGAGGAACCCTGAGAAGGAATGCTCTTTGCCATCCCCAAGGCAGGCTGTTTCGGTGAGTGAATACCTCAGGGTGCTCAGTAGCAACTTCTCATGCACTTCCCTTCCATTCTAGAAGGGCATGACCACTCAGAAGTAGCCTTTATACATAGAGAAGGCAAGACAAGGGCAGTTACTATGATGGAAAAAAATATAAATTAAAAAATGAAATGAAAGCACAAAGATGACGTGTCTAGGAGGCTTGAGGGAACTGAAGTCTAAAGCAAGGGAATCACTGCCAAATGTACATAATTTATCATTACACACACCTGCTATATCAGATGAGAGGACTCAGTGCCATATCCTGCTTTAAAAAAGCTCTAAGATTTGTGTTTGAGGCATCAAGCATTTAAATGCAAGGGTATTTAAACCTTCTCATATAAGGCAGGGAAATTTATCTCAGAGGTTATCCAATTTGTTTTCAAGTGGTAAAACCAGGCAGTGCAGTTGTAAAGGAAGCCGCTGTCGGAGGCGGTGTGGGATTAACGAGTGCAATAAGTGTGATGGCTTTAATACTACAAATGATAGTTCCATGAGTTTGATGAATAGTTACTTTTGGTTTACCTGTGGTCCTGCGTTTGTGGAGATAATATAGAAAAAGCAATAAAATTGAGTAAGTAGAAGAGCATAGGCTGCTGTTTGCTAAAAATAATAAATGGATTACACTGAAAGGCAGCACACATGCAATAACTGTCAGTCGGTTATCTATCAGCCCATTTTATTTCTATTGGGTGCTAGGAAAGAATACTGTATTTTGTGTAATTATCGATGTGAAATTCAGATGGAAATGAATTGGCTCTTCCTTCAGCTTTGTTTTCCTTTCTGCATATGACCATACACAAGTCAAAGGATCTGCTCCACGAGATAAATATACATAAAATTTGTCTCCAACCTCATCTGCCAAGAAGAAAAGGTTACCTTCTGGCATGACAGATTGGTTGGAAGGTCACGGTAGATTTTCCAGTAGAGCTAGGAATACGTTTTTTGGCACACTGATATGTATATACATTTTAAATAGCACAACAGAACATTTAAAAGTACTTGTCAAGAAAAAACACCAGTTGTATTTCAGTGCTATTCGGTTCCTGTTCAAGCTTAGTGGATGTGAACTTAGGCAGGGCAGAAAGCCAGCCTGCTGCTGAGCGGTCTGACTGTGCTGCTCATGCTTCTGGGCAGCAAGGGGTGCTCTGCAATTCTGTTTTCTCTGGGTGGGAAAAAGTCCTGGTGGGAAAAAAAATATATATATAGGAAAAGATGGGAAGATGAATAGTAGTGAAGATGCAGAATGGCTTCTGCATAATGGGAAACTGATGAGACCTGGGCTTGCCTTCTGCCTGGTAAGGGTGAGGAAAGATTGGAGTGTATGAGATTGCAGAGACATTTGTCCACTGCTTCCCAAAAGACAGAATGGCAAGCCCCCCCCAGTAAGAATACTAAGCGGCAAGCATAAAGCAAATGTGAAGCTGAAGTGCTTTCATACAAAAGGTACAATTATTCTTGGAACTCTGTGGCTCAAGCTGGTATTGAAACTAAAAGTTAAAAGAGATTGAAACAGCTGCTAAAAGAAAGAAATTCATAGACTTTCAAACAATAGATGCTACATGTAACAGTTTGAATCACAGAACCATAGAACGGCCTGGGTTGCAAAGGAGCTCAGTGCTCATCCAGTTCCAACCCTCTGCTGTGTGCAGGTCCCCAACCAGCAGCCCAGGCTGCTCAGAGCCACATCCAGCCTGGCCTTGAATGCCTGCAGGGATGGGGCACCCACTTGGGAAATACCTTTCTAAACTTTGAAGAGCTCCAATACCTAATGTCGTTATTAAAGGTGAACAGAGACCACTTGGCTCTTCTGTAGGCAACGTGCACTTCTGCACCTCCACACACTGTACAGAAAGCAATTAATGCTTACAACACCCATGTGAGGCTGGAGATAAGAGCGCTGCAATGCAGAGGAATTGACTTGTTCAGCCTGAGAGAAACACAACACGAAGGATTTCACGTCCTGGGCTCTACGCACCAGGCTAAGTTCTCTCCTTTGTCCATACTAAATCTGCATTGGGAATAATTTAATACTTTAAAGGCTGTACATCACACGCACTGAATTGCCTTTGCACCCCTGAGGAGGTGTTTTCTCCAAAGAGCAGCCAGGCAGTGGCACAGCTGCCTATGGAACGGGGGGTCACCGTCCCTGGGGGTGTCCCAGAGCCGTGGATGTGGCACTGAGGGACGCGGGCAGCGGGCATGGGGGAGCGGGGATCCTAGCGGTCTTCTCCGACCGTGACACGCCTACTCTTCCCTCAGCGCAGTGCTCACAACCGACCCTCACAGCACGCGCGGCGGCACTGCGGGGCGGGGTGGGCCGAAGCCGCTCCCCGCCATCCCGCCCGCCGCTGTCGGAGAAGCGCCGCCTCGCACCCACCGTCCCGCCCATCCCTCGCTTCCGCGGACTCGCCGCTCGCCGGGTCCGCCGTGCCGGGCCGCAAGTATCGCGGGAGCCGAGCGCCGCCGCAGCCATTGGGCGGCGCGGCGGAGGAAAGGCGGCCGCGGAGCGGCTGAGCCGAGCGCCGGGCAGCGGCAGCCGCATCCCCCGTCCCGTTCCCGGCGGCCATGAGGAGGAGGCGGGCGGCGGCGCCGCGCTGCGCCCCGGGCGGGGGCGGTGCTGGGGGGCGGCGCTGAGAGGGCGCTCCTCCGTGAGGCGCTCCGCTGCGGGTGCGCGCTGCCCGGAGCCGGGTCGGGCGTTTGAGAACTTTCGGCGCGTGGCAGCTGCCGCCGGCTCAACGCTTCCCCAGGTAGGTCTACACCGCGGCTCAACCCGTCGCAGGTTTCCCCCTCGTGAGCCCCCACTGTCTTAGCTATCGGAAATAGGACATGCGGGCGTCCCCGGGGAGCGCGCCGTGTGCGGCGGGCGCGGGGTGACGGCTTGGGCGGCGCGCTGCCGCCTCCTGGATGGCCGCCCCGGGCGCGGCGTCGGCCGGAGAGCCGCCTACTGTGAGCCGCGTCCCGCTGCAGGGCTTGGGCTGAAGGGGCTCCGGAGGTCCCTTCCTGCCCGCAAGGCGCTGTGGTTCTGTGCTTTGCGGAGCACCGCGGAGTTGGGTATCCCCGCTTAGTTCTCCGCTGTGGAGCGAGAGCGGGCTGAGGAATTTGGGCGCTTCTGGAAGCAGCGAGAGGAAAGGCGAATGGGTAAGGCGCGCTCGGGATGATGCAGAAGAAAGCAGGAGGGCTTCTGCCGCTGGGTGCTGCCTCGTGGGGAGGGAATGGGCCTTAGGTCTCGGGCTGCTGTGCAAGCAGGCTGTGTAAATCCCTCCGTTGGCTTTGCGGTGCGTGCTGCTGGAGCTGTGAGGGCTGCCGCAGGGGCTGCGCTCAGCTCCCAAACTGCTGCTCCCTTTCCGGGCGGTGCTCTCGCTTGGCCTGTTGCTGCAAACCAAGGAGTGTAATGTGGCACGCGTTTGGGTTCCCCTGGGATCAGCCGTGCGAGGTTTAGGAGTGATTTCTTCATCGGAGCGGTTCTCGAAGAACCCGGATCTGTGCCGTGTCTTCCTGTGGCTGCGTTGGTGTGTGAGAGCTCGGTGTGCGCAGGTTGCGGAGGATGAGTGTGCGTTACGGCGAGAGCTGGTGCCGGTACGGCGGGGGGAAGCAGGCTGGCAGCCTCCTCTGCCTGTAGGTGAGTGTTAAGGAAGGACTGTGCCCAGCTTTGCCTCTCAGGCACGAATAAAGGTCTGTGTGAATGCAACCCTGCGTGGCTCCAGGCTGTGCTGTTAGCTCCTGCCTCCCCCTGCAAGAGAAGTCTGATTCTCCCGAAGCGTTTAGGAAGACGGGAGGTGGCATATCCGTTCCCACTCTCCGTGCCCCGAGAACCCTATTGTAGGATTAGTGAGTTGTAAAATCATTCCTTACCGTCTACAGCAAGAGCTTACTACCATTTTCTGTTTTGAGCATTGCTCGCAGAATCAGAGCGTGCTGCTCTGTTCATAATGCAAAGTGCTGCTGCTTTGGGTTGAGGCGGCGTACAGCACAGTGCTACCTATGTCCAACGATGGGAAAATTAAGGCCAAAGAAGGAAAGCAGAAACACTTGGAAATAGGAAACTTAGAAAGCTGGAAGCTGCCTACAATTCATAGAATCATATCACAGAATGGTTGGGTTGGAAGGGACCCCAAGGATCATGAAGCTCCAACCCCCCCTGCCACAGGCTGGGACGCCAACCTCCCCGTTTAATACCTGACCAGGCTGCCCTGCTCTACTATTAGTATAGAATGGCTTGGGTTGGAAGGGAGCCCAAGTATCGTCACCCAACCCCCCTGCTGCGGGCAGGGCTGCCAACTGCTAGGTCAAGTACTAGATCTGATTGCCCATGGCTAGTGGTTTGGGGTTTTTTTGCTTGTTTTACTTTCTGTTAATACTATTTTCTTATTTTATTGTATGTGTGACATTGGTGGATGAATTTGAGGGAGTACTTGCACTGAAAATATGGGAGAGTCATTTTTATCAACACAGGAAAGTATGGTATACGATTTTTTTTATTCAGTGTAGTGAGACGTGTGCTCTTCTGTTTTCTTCAAAAACACTGAGATTATATACTGATTTTTTTCTTTCTGTTTATTCTACTCCCTCTTGGTGATTCGCTTTTAAGTTAGCAACTATGATGTGAAATTAAAATTTGGACTGTCAGCAATGGCCTTTTCAGTATTCACAAACATTGCATTTTGAGGGCTTGTTTTGTGCGATTGGCAGTGAGAGAAATTCTGCAGATTCTCAGCGCTGGAAATGGGTTTCTTTGGTACGTAGGAAAATGAATGAAGAGGCCATTCAGTTCACTAGGTGGGCAGACTGCATGTTTCCAGGTGATGCAGCTGCTGCTGTTCCTTGCAGTGAGCTCCCCAGCTTCACATGGGCACAGCACCTAGTAGAAAACTGATTTCGTTCAGGCATTCAGCAGCTCTTGTTTTGGTGTCAGAGGAACGCTGCTGTTGAGCACATTGGTGAAGGCTGTCCCAGCTGGACAGCCGGTTCCACGTCTCTGTGGGATGCCTGGTGCTGCGCTGGCATTGCCAGAGGAAATCCTTTGGTACATGGCTGTGCTGCTTGGGTTGTACCAGGTGCTCGTCCCATAGCTTTTCCCCTGGCTGTTGCCTGGCTTGTTGTACCGTTTCATCAGCGTTTGAAGGGCTGGAAAACTGGTTCTGGGTGCTATCTGTCAATTTGTCAGTACCACTCAAGTACTTGTTATTTCTTAATTTCTGTGTGGGAGAGCACCCACCATCTGAAAGCAGAGCACATGCAGTCAGGTTTCTCTGTTAATTAGATGCAGGGAGGCTCCAGCAGCTTGCAGAGGGATCCCTGCCTGTTTCCTGCTGGGGAGGATGCAGGTTTGGGGAGGCACCACCTGGCTGAGTTGGTGCCTGTCTTCTTTGAGGTCAGCATTTTCACTGGGTTTACACTTTTAGTGCTTTTTGCTAACAGATCTGTGGAAACAGCACGTCTTGGTGCGAGAATGTGAAGGTGTGGACTAAAGGCAAAGGAATCCTTTACCATTTTGCCATCACTTGCAGGCTCGGTGGTGTACAGCGAGTTTGCTCTGAGCACAAAAAGCTTTTTTTGTCTGGATGTTGGGGACCTGGGAGGTTCATTGCATCGAGGTATTGATTCTGGGAGAAGCTAGTGCTAGGCATATTGCTTGCCTCCAGTCTGAACAAAGCAACAGAAAATAGAGGATAGACTAACAAATAAGTTTGATTAGGTGAATTAATAAGCCTTTTCTACTTTAATTTCAGAGTCACGGAACCACTTTTTAAAATGAAGAACAGGTTGACTTTTAAATGTCAAGTTGTCTATTTCAGAAAAGGAAAGAGGGGGAGGAACTCAGTCTTAAGACACAAAGCATGGGTAGCTCTAACCTGATACACCTGATTTTCTTATTGAAAGTGAAAGCTTCCTGTATTAATCTCTGAGATTGCCATTCTGAGTTCTTCAGGTACCTGTACATTCATTAATAAACTGCTCATGGTATTGGGTGATGATTCATGCTTCTTTTTTTTTTTTTGGAGATAATAGTATATATTTAGGTTTGGTTAAATGAGTGTTAACTCTTGGAAGGCAAAATGTGTTTTAAACGTATTCAGCATGTCACAAAAATTGCAGTCCTTAGTAGTTTTTTAAGCAAGTTTGCTTCCTCAGCTTTTTAATGATTATTTGTCTGGAAGCAACTGTAATGGACTTTTATTTATAACGCAGGGTAGCACATACTGCACCAAAACATAGGCAGTGGGCTTTGGTTTGTCAGGTCTCATTTTGTGATGTGCTGGCCCTGGCACACGTGGGTGCAGTTGTGTTTATGTACTCTGTCACTTCCTGCTGGCCAGCTGCCATTCGGTGCAGTGCTGCCCTTGTTGCATTCTGGTTCTGCAGCAGAGATTGGCAAAAATAATAACACCAAACCTTTCTCTTAGCAGTACTTAAATGTTGTAAATGAGCTGGTTTTCTCACACGCCCTACTCCTGTGGTCAGTTTCATCATGGTATCTGTGGCCATCCTGAGGTTTCTAGTTCTTAGCCTCTAGCTTGAATTTGCTGGGATGCAAGAGGAGAGCTGAAGGCTGTGCATGGGGATGGCTTGTGAAAATACAGAGATGTCAAGCAGGGTGAGTTGCAGCCCTGACTGAGGTGGTGAAGTTGCATGCCTCAAAAGCATAGCCCGTGTGATAGATTCACTAGAGAAGGCAGCATATCTCGGTTGAATAATGAAAAGGCAGGAAATTACCTCTGGAGTCATAACAGTAATGCAATTCCATCCACTTACTCATCTTCCTAAAGCACCTGTTATCTGCAGTCTGCATGTGATAATTGAAACGTAGCTCTGAAGGTCAGTGGAAGCAGTTTTCTGCCCCCCAGCTCCTGACAGCATGCTTTTCCCTCAGTGTTCATAGTTCAGAGAAGTGTAGGAGGAGAATAGGAGTTGTTCTTCTTGTTGTATGATGCTGTTGGAGAATAGTCTCTGTGGAAACGTGTAGCTTTATACAAGGATTTGGGCACTCCATTAAGCTGTCACTGCCACTGCTAAGAACAGCATCCACTTGGACAAAATGGTGTTCACCTCTATTTTACACTCAATTCTATGAGAAATTAGCACTTCAAAACTTTCCATGCAGTGCTGATCTTCAGTTTGCATCCCTTCTCATCTAAGCACCTAGATGTCAGTGCAGATGTGTTGGTGAGTGTTGGCACCCCATTGGCCATAGGCTGGTTGTGGCTGCATGCAGCTGGGGCCCAGGCAGAGGTCAGGGTGTCCTCACATTGCTTTGGAAGATGTGGCCCCAGTTCTAGGAGTACACCTAGCATGTAGGTGCGCCCTAGGACTCTCATGGTGCTTTTCCTATTAAATCAGTGAAGGTGCTTAGTAGGCACTGGGTGATGCTTCTGATTTTCTTTGGAGGATCTTCTGTACTGAGTTTGAGTCTTGCCTAAGGCTTAGGAAACTTAATATATACTCAGTTCTAAGAATGGCAGTAGATTAAGGGGCCATTCAAGGGCGCGCTCACAGATTGCAGACACTGGCCATTTGGAAATATGCAGAGATAAAGCTCCATACATTTTTCTGCACGCAGTTTTTGCTTGCAGTCCCTCAGGTGCTGCTGCTGTACCTTCCTCTTGCCCTCACTCCCTTGTTGCTGAAATTGCTATCTTGCATCCACAGCTGAGCCACGCTGACAAAGGGTGAGAGCAAAAAGCAGTGAGGGGAAAGCGCTGGGCTGTGAAATGGATGGTTGCTTCAGAGAGGAGCCCAGCTTGGGATAATCAACAGGTGTGTTGCTAACAGCACTGGCAGGAAGATGCTGGCTTGAGGTCTGTGGTTTGTGGTGGGATCAGTGCACTGGTGGGGCTGTGTGTCAGCTTTGGGCTGTGTGGATATAACCAGGGAGCACAGCCGGTGCTGGATGCTCCTCAGAGCCCTGGCCCCAATTGATGCTGCCATTATTTTCAACGCAGGGGTGATTCTTTTGGTTTGTAATCTCATAGAGGTGGCATGAAATTAAATTAAAAGCTTTTTAGGCAACTGGACAGAATGGTGGTGAATGCCACGGTGTTGAGTCCCTGAGGAAATGAAGGGGGTTGCAGGGAGCAATGCTGAGCATGTGCTTCATGTCCCCAATGCTGGGTGGAAGCAAGCTCTGCAGGGGACTGTTTCACTACCCGATAAAGGTGATGTGAGCTTTTAATCCTGCCAATTGTACAGAGCTTGAATTTATAACCACCGTAAGATCCTCTTAGCGCTGCGTTTTGCTGTGGCAATTTTAGGAAAGCCTGGCAATGCAGCTGAATTCTAAATTTGCATCCTGTTTTCTATTATAAAACCCTGCCTTTATTGCTTCCAGCGCTGCCAAACTGCAGTGTTTTGGGGCAGGGATTTCCCTGCTTTGTTGCTGTTTCAGATTAGCTTTGTTCTTTGCGCTGGTAGCTGGGAGACCTGGCATATTTCTCTTCCCTTTCCTCCCCTGAAGCCTTGGTACCCCAGATTTTAGTAAAATCCCAAATCAAAGCAATTTAGGGCCAGAGTAATGAGGAGAGCTTGGGGCCAGGGCACTTGGCACCTGGTGTGTATTGCTGCATAGGAATTCGGTGGCCCAGCATTAGCTGGGCTTCAAGTGCTAAAGCAGGTCTGATTATTTTTTTTTTTTTAAAGTAGTGGCATGAGTATTTAATTGAAATGTTAATTATTAAAAAAGCAAAGCCAAACTATAATTGCCATTGACTTTATAATTGCTTGTCTGGCTGTCTCTATTTTAACCCCTGCAAACTGCATAGCTCCTGGCCACAGTGTTACAGAGGCGATGGTTTCTGCACAGTTGATTTAGAAAATGCACAGGTTTGGGAATAGGAGATTCTTCCACTCATCCCTCCGACTGCTACAGTGCTGACTTTCACTGGGTTGTATTAAAGCAAGAATTGATGAAGAAAAGAATTCCTCTGTATGTTGAAGTGCTCGGGGAGGACGTGCTTTTGTGTCAGCTGGTGCTGAACAAATAACTGTGCTACTCAAGGCTACAGAAGCCAATTACAGCTGTTGTGGTGACGGGCTGTGTGGGGGGTGAAGGCCTCTGCATGTTTTTCTGTTTTTTTCCCTAATAAATATCTATGTCATTTTTCTGTTGGTTTTTTTTTTTTCCTTTGTAATTTTCTTCCTATCACTAACCGTTCCTGTTGACTAGCATGAAAATAAATTGTGCTAACTGGAAGCAAGTGTTCCAAAGCCTGTACAGTTTTAAATTAACCGGCCCTGCGTTGCTGTGATGAGAAAAGGAGCTGCTGGCTGTGTTTACGTGGCAGATGAACAGCTTTATTGATTATTACGTAGTAAAATAGCACTTCAAGCAGATTTCTAAAAAGCTTATTTAAATTGTTCTGTCTCCTCCATCTCATTTGTTCAAATGAAGTGAAACTTAAACATAAGTTTCTTTATAAAATGTGCTGGAACTAAGATGAGTGGGTTAAAATGCGGACCCAATCTATGAGAATGTTCTTTCTGAGAATCTCACAACGTCTTGGGTTGGAAGGAACTTTCAAGATCGTCCATTTCCAATCCTGAAAGTCCTTTGGCTGTGTCCCCTTTCCCTTCCTACTGTGCCCTAGGAGCTGGAGGCTGCACAGAGACAGCAGCAGGCAGCATTGATTCCATCCACCCCACAGCCAGCTCAGCCAGGAAGCAAATACTCTGTGGGTTTCTTGTTCCCATGCTAGGAAAGGCAGTGGAGCAGTAAAGCTTGTCCTGTGTTTTGTTTTGCAGGTGCTGGGACTGCTATCCCGTGGTTCAGCTCCACGGCTGTGCGTGGGGACGTGGCTGAAGCACAGCTCCCAGCGCTGGCGTGGAACGCAGCGTATGAAGGTACGAGTGAGGTGTCCACGTGTGGTCATCTGACTGAGCAGACAATCCCAGAGCTGTGGGGGCTGGAAGGGATGCATGCATTAGGAGCCAAGCACAGCTGCATTTGCATTTCTGCACACTGGTGATTTCAGACCTATGGATAAACCACACACCCTGTTGCATCAGTCTGGCTCTGGTTCTGCTCAATTTCTTGACACTCCTTTTTGCATCATCATTTTGCTGTGAATGGAATCAAGCCCTGCAATTATTAGCAGTTTTTGCCCTTTGTGTAAAAGAAACGGAGGGGGATGAAGGTGTGACTATTTGCACCTAGGACCTGACAGGTTCTGGGGGTGTTGGCTGCTGGCGTGGAGCTCGGCTGGGGGCTGGGATGGAACAGCCATGGCTGCAAGCACTTCTAAAGTGAATTTTTTCAGAAGGCTGCTGAGGGGCAGCTGTGTGCTGAGATAGGGGAGGTTTAGATCAGATATATCACAGAATGGTTGGGTTGGAAGGGACCTCAAGGATCGTGAAGCTCCAACCCCCTGCCACACGCAGGGCCACCAACCTCCACATCTCATAGCAGCCCAGGCTGCCCAGGGCCCCATCCAACCTGGCCTTGAACACCTCCAGGGATGGACGGGGCATCACAGCCTCTCTGGCAGCTGTTCCAACACCTCATTGCTCTCATAGCAAAGAACTTAAATAAGTGTTAGTGAGAACTGTTGATGATCAGTGGATCGTTGGGCTGGGTGATCCTGTGGGTCTCTTCCAATCTTGGTGATTCTATGATTCAAATGTAGTGTTGCAGGGAAGAGCCTAAAGAGGTGCATGGGTAACTGCAGTGTCTTTTGCAGGTGTCTTTGGTGCTGCTATGGCAGTACTCAATTTTTTTCCTTCAGGATTAATTAAAAAAATAAACAAAACAAATTGCTTCTAGTCCTTGCAGGGCATATTTAAGGCAGCACTATAAACACAGTATTTGGGGTGAAAGAAAACTTCTTTGTGTTAGTGTCTAATGTCTAACTTCTTTGAAGTTCCCATATGTTTTTTCTTCAGTACTCCAGCAAGAACTGGTTGCAGTATGGGTTAGAACTGTCTGTTAGCACTACTTTGACCTTTTGCATGCTCTTTATTAAAATATATTACATTGTATTAGAACATCATTAAGATGATTGAGGTATACATGGTGTGCTTCTAAATAAAAGCACTATGGAGACTATGCATGAAATCTGTAAATTTAAATAGTTGGTATTCATGGACGAGGGTGGAAAGGGCTTGGGCTGAAAAATGAAAAGTGCCTGCATACTTCGTGTGGAAGTACAGTGTTGAGATATTTACTTTTTTCAATTCAGACTGTATTTGTTAGCTAACTGAGCCCTTTTCTTCTTTTAGTCACAGTGGGATGCATGCCTTTGCTTCCATGTTGGATTTTAGCTCTGGGAGTTTGGTGCATCTCAGCAGCAGCGTTCTTTCTTTAGCACTTTAGCTGGAAAGGAAGCAAAGCAATGAGGAGATTTGTTTACTGCAAGGTGGTGCTGGCCACTTCTCTCATGTGGGTGCTTGTGGACGTCTTCTTACTTCTGTACTTCAGTGAATGCAATAAATGCGATGACAAGAAGGAGAGGTCCCTGCTGCCTGCTCTGAGGGGTGAGTGCCAAGTCTGAGCCATCTCTCATGGCTGCAGCTTTGTTATTATTTTTTTAATTATCTTTCTCATATCTTTCTCTGTGCTTCCTAAATTATTTTTCCAATTCAAACAGACAGAATACCAAGATCTGAAGTACTCTGTTTTATTTCGCTGGTTTCACAATTGCAGATATCTTAGTGTCTGACCTTTTACCATATTGAAGCCTGAGCCTTGTACATTATTATTTTTTTTTTTCAGTGAAAGCAATATTAAATGTCTGGTACATAGAAGAGAAAACAATAATTATTATTTGGTAATCTAGTATTTGAAGTCATTCTTATTATTAGAGAGGAAAGATCCTGCTTGTGTAGAACGTAGATAGAAGTAAGAGGTAAGCTTCCCCTGCCTTTTTCGTTGTAATTATTGCTCTGTAAATGATTCATGAAGACAACTTTGCAGTAGGTGCACAGTGTAAGTGGTGACAGTTCACAGACTGAACACAGCTGTCAGAAGTCTCCCTCTGATGTCTGTTGCATCTTGAAGCATACAAGTGACAAGTACAAAAGCTGGGTGCTGTAACAGTGAGCTGTGCTGTGCTGGTTAGTGACATTGCTTAACAACTTGCAAGTGTTATCCCAATTAACAAGGAGCTGTCTTCCAGTCAAGCTGTCTTTACTTTTATCTATTTTTGTACCACGATTGAAGGAAAATATGCTTATTTCTTATACCTCCTTCCTGCCCTAGAAGAAAATTAATACTGGTCAGTATTTAGCAGTCCCTGCTTATCAATGGCATATGCAGAAATTTTGTGAAAATGTCAGCATTCTGCATCCTTTTAGTGTGGGCTCTGCATCTATAGGGTTGTGTTCTCCTCTTGCAGCTTTCCCCATACTGATACTGCAGGTGGCTGATGCCTCACAGATCTCAAGGTGGCAGAGGAGTAACTTCCCAGGGCATGGACCAGACAGGGTGTGGGATGCTCTTCCAAAAGCAGTCAGTAGAGTCAGAAAAGGTTTGCAGTCCTTCCTTTCCTCAAAGGCACCTCGTGTCTTGTAGCAAGCTGCACAGAAGTAGAGATTTCTCTGGAAGCTCAAGTTTTGTCTGGAATTTCAGCAGACTTAGAGCACTTCAGAAAAGCTGTAAGAGAGGTAAGTTTTATGGAGAGCATCACATGAAGTGGAAGCTGGGTCTGGCCTCTCTCTGGGCTGAAGCACACTGAGGCAGCCAGGGAGAGGGGTCTCAGAGGGCATCTCTTGGCTTGTGTGCAGGGCTGCTCCCCTCTGCTCCTTCCTGCAGGAGAAGGGACCACAGCTGTGTGATGTGGGAACATCCAGAGCCAAGGTGTGCTGCTTGAGCCAGGGCTCTGAGGGAGAGGGAAAAGTTGGCAAGTTTGCAAAAAAGCCTGTAAAATACAGTGTTAGTATTGGTAACAGTTCTGTTTCAAATGCTTTTTAAAAGATATAAGGACAGCTCGGTTCTGAACTTCTGTGGGATTTTTTTTGGTAATTTGTTTTTAAATGGGTGAAATGACAGAGATGAATGCAGTAGTTGCTGGCCCAAGGAAAGAGATTGGAAATGAAATCTGATGTTGTGAACTAATTGCATTTAATCTAATATTTCTAGCAGATGGTTCTTCTGAAACATGCAAAGCTTGCAGAAGGCAAGGCAGGGTGCCTTCAGGTCTGGCTGAAGAAATAATCCTTCTTGTATTTAAAGCAGGAGTGCTTATGCATGGACTGGAGGTCAGTTTGCTCAGCACGCTGAGCTTCTAACAAAGGAAGTGCTGTTTAACTCATGGTAGTCCAATGGCCTGGAGCTTTATCAGTTCAGCTTTAATTTTGTTTTCCATGAATTGGAGGAGCTCTGAGGGACTCAAGAGGCTCAAGCTTTGGTTCCTGCAGCCCCATCCTTCCCACAACAATGTCTGGGAGATGAAGTGAAGGCCAGCATCCCTTTGGGTTGTGTGCTGCGGGGGGCTGAAAGCTTAGGATGTGTCTGGGGGGCAGAGAAAGGTGCTGTGGGTTTGGAATGGAAAAATACTTTCCTGCAGAAAAATACTCGGATCTTTTAATTTCAAAATCAAAATTGTTAATTAAACACAACATTTTCTGTTACAAAAGCTGTCTTTGGAGATACTTGTTTAGAAGCTTTTGGAAAATACCTGTTGAACCTGGGGAAGTCAAAGCTCTCCAAGCAATAAAGCAGGGATCGTGTGCATTGACTGAAATAGTAATTGTTAGGGAGTGTGATTATTTTAATTAAAATGAGCGAGGATGATGAGATGGAATTGTATTATTGAATGCTTGTCTTTGCAGCATGACTCATGTTTTTGTAGCGTGCTGTATGCTTTAGACTTTCATAAAGTAGTGTCAAATCCATAATGTTTTTGTCTAATGTTTTAATGCAGATTTCTGTTCCTGTATTATGAACTGTATTCTGAAGTCGTACAAAAGGGCTTTCATAAAATCGGTGCAAGTTATTAAATTGCTATTTTGAGGACAACTCGGTGTAAGGGAAAGGTTCATTTATTCAAACCCTGTAATGTATTTCTGTTACGAGAGAGAAAAGGTCTGTTGTGATCATGTAAAGCAAGTGAATGAAACATTGGGCTGCGGTATGAAAAGTTTGGGGTTATGGCCAAGTTTAGAAAAGAAGGCATTCATTTTGGTGGTTTCCATAGTAACGTGTTTATCTGTCAAATTACTGTATGCACTGGGTTGTCTGCATTCACAATGGGAGCAGATATTTTTTAATAGCATGCCATAAAGATTTAATGGATGGAGGGATGAATGTGTACATTGCGCTCAAGTCTTGCCACAGATTTGTTGACAAATAAAACTTGAAGTGCTGATTTGGGTATTGTGATGGGACAGTGGGCTGATTTCTAGATCAGTTCAGTTTCTAGAGATCGAGGGGAAAGCTAGAGCATAGCAGATGCCTTTATCTGGTTGCAAACATCTAAAAAGAGAAGAAAGCTTTCCTCAGAGATCTGGTGCCCCCTGATCCAGAGCAAGCAGGCTGCAGAGGAGCCACATTTTCCAGCAGGCTGTGGAGGACCAATGGCAGGATGCTTCTCACTGCAGCGGTGGAGGATGCACAGGTGTTGTAGGTCACCTTTGCTTTGGCGATGGCAGGATGTGATTTCCAGCTGATGGGTAGCTTTTTAGATTTCCTTTTTATGTTCAGCAGATGATTCATAAAATTACTGGAAATTCTTTCCAGCCAGCAGCTCTCCTTTTTGTGGAGTACCTATCAGCTTTTAGACCCGCTTGCTTGCACATCCTTTCGTTTTGTGGGAACTAATAAGTGATTCTTGGAAGCTGTGTGCTTCCAGTATCTGTTTTAATAATGGATACTGTCGATGAATTATGGCTCCTTTTTGTTACTGATGCCATGCTTTAGGCCTTGAATGAAGCTTCATTGATTTCAGGAAAGCTCTGCAAACACCGTCTACGTGCTCAAGCCCGGTTGCAAGAACTGAGGCTTAAAAATGAAGCTTGATCTGCCATCAGCCTCTTTTAATCCACTGTTAAACAGTCCTTAACTTGTTCTGAAAATAACAGTGTTGCTGAGCACGGCAGAGTAGGTTTCCATCCTTTGTGAGTTCTGTGTAGGTGTTAAGAAGTGCAAGAAGACATTGGAGCAATGAGAACTGCAGAGAGGTCATAGAGCATTGGAAGGGGACACAGCACGTTGGGTGGCTCTGTGCTGCAATTCATTTTGCAAAGGGAGAGACAGGTTTTTATAATACTGGCTTTAAGCTGTGGTTCTCGTGATTACTGTTGTGGTTGTTTTTCCCCTTGTGAAGTATCAGTGATATGGAATTGGGGGGCAACTTTTGCAAGAAATACTAATTGGTGTTATCACTGAGAAACACTTCTCGATTATGTTTCTCTGTAGTAGTGCAGTATGAGACTTGAATAACAATTACAGATCATGATATCTGTGTGAAGCCCTGGTTGTTTGTGTATCTGAGTGCTGCTCCTGGATGACTGTTTTCTGTAGCTGTCGTGCAGAGTACTTCTCTATCTGGAATGAAAGTTTTCAGCTGCAGATGTTCTCAGGAGCCCTGATTGCCAAACCTGACAAGCTGAAGTGTGCATTCATCTGCATAATAAAGAGTGAAGAATCAGAGTGGAATTTATTCCAGTGTCGTCCTTCTTGTCCTTGGGAGCCTAGTCTGTATTAAAAATCAATTAATAAGAAAACAAAGCCAAAACAAGAACCCCAGGCTCTTACCGTGCAGAAAAATGAGTGAGATGAGTAAATATCATTGGGTACTTTGTGCCCCCTGTGATATCCCAACTACAGAGAGGTGTTGTTCACCTTGTTGGGGTAGGAAGGCCTGTGATTAATGAGAGCTCTGGGTGCCTCCCAGTTCCTGTGGGAACATGGCAGTGTTATAACAGTGCAGTGGAGAGGCTGTGGATGCCCCATTCCTGGAGGTGTTCAAGGCCAGGTTGGATGGGGCACTGGGCTGGGCAGCCTGGGCTGGTATTAAAAGGGGTTGTTGAAGCTTGGTGATCTTTGAGGTCCTTTCCAACCCAAGCCACTCTATGAATCTATGATACGAATTTCTGCATCAAACCAGTGTAACTTTTGACACTTTTGTCTTGAGTTTCATCCTGAATAGTTACAAGCTTTTCTGAGGCTGAGCAGCAAAATAAAACAAATACAAACTATTTTTGTTCAAATGGTCCATTGGGTCGTATAACTAATGCTTGTGTGTACACTGTGTGGAGTTTCTTCCTTTTGGGGGTTGGACTCGATGATTTCTGGAGGTCCATTCCAAGCCCTACGATTCTGTGATTCTGTGCGATTCCTTTCCTGTCTGTTAAGGTTGGAAGCAGCCTGGAAACATTTAGCCCCTAAATCTCTTAATAGTTTGTCACCATGCCTGGGCTTAGCTGTGGCAGAAATAGCCCTTTCCTCCTCAGGGTCATCATTAATTACATACTCCATGGCTGTTCCATGTGCAGAAAACCTGTAGCAGTGCTTTAAAAATTGGAGCTTTGGGGTG